TCTGATAAGGTTGCATCTCTTTTTCGTGCTTGTCACTTTTTCACTCAAGATTCTATTCTTTATCTCTATAAATCTCAAATCGGTCCTTGTATGGAATACTGTTGCCATATCTGGGGCAGATCTTCAAATGATGCCCTATCTTGTTAAGACAAAATGAAAAAATGCATTTTATACTTAGATAGACCTGCTTTTACAACCAACTTTCAACCATTGCTACATGGTCCTAATGTTGCTTCCCTCTTTTTTTATAAATACTATAATGGGCACTGCTCTAAAGAGCTAACGTCTCTTGTGCCATCTACTAAAATTCTTTCTCATGTTACTCGTCATTAAATTAAGTCTCATCATTTCACTGTGAAAAAAAATTCTTATTCATTTAATTTTTTTCTTCAACCATTAATTCTTTGGAATTTGCTTCCTTCATCTTTTTTTCCTGGTTTATATAATTTGCAATCTTTTAAGTTGTTTGTATATTTTTATCTTACGTTATCTTTTCTTTTCCAGTAACTTGCAACTATAGTAGTGGTTGTTCCCAGCTTTGTTGGAAGTGAAGATGTTTTTTAAAAAAAAAAATTCTCATTCTGTTTTGATGTCATCCGGTTTAATAATAGCAAAAAAATTTAACAAGATTTGCAGGCTGTTTATGAGTGAAGTATTTGTTGAAAAACAGCCTTAATAACTTGTTATTAAGTTGCTATAAGTTTTTTAACTTATCTTCCAAATTGTTTATTATACATTGATTTTTTTTTTCAAATTACAATTTTTATAATTTTTTTTTTTTTTTTATTGGCATTCGCTCCCAACAAGGCTGCAAGCAACCACTATTAAGTTGGGAGTTACTAGGAAAAAAAAGAACAGAGTTATAGAGCAAGGAAACGGTTGACAGAAGACTTGAAAAGGTGAAGGTTGTATGAGTCAGGAAAACATGAAGATGGGAGAGAGTTCCAAAGGATTGAAGTGCTTGAATAAGTTAAATTGAATTAGTTAAGTAGATATTTTTTATAGGTCAAATGAAACTGGTTTTGAAGGTTTGATTTAATAATAAGTTTATTGGTTAAAACTCGCAAGTCTTATGGCTCTTGGAATTTTTTGAGAAATTAATATTTAACCCAATTTGAATCTGGAATTTTTTGAGAAATTAATATTTAACTCAAAGTATCATTTAACCTAAGGGTGTGATATTATTGTGTTTTTTTTTTTGTGTTTTTTTTTTTTTTTTTTTGTATTTGATTCGTGCTAATCAGTAAAATCATTATATGAATGGAACATAGTTGTGAATTATTCTCTTTTTGTTATTTTTTATTTATTTATTTTTAGGCTTTTATAGAATTTTATATTTTATATAAGTTAATATTATTAAAATAATATATTATAGTATAATAATTCTATTAATATCATTGTATTATTAATTTTATTATAAAGGTAGTAGAGTGCTCGCTTTGTAAATATGATGTTCCTAATTTAATCCCATTTATGTCCTAGGTAGTACTGCTGAAATAGACTCCAATAGCTAAATTTACCACTCCTTGTGTGAATCAAAGGTGATTGTCTCTTAACTATTTAACAAGCTCACCTGAATTTATTTTTTTGCTTGCTGTTGTTCTCTTAAACTTCTTGAGGTTGTCCTGACCCTTCTAACAATTTTCCAATTAGTTTTTTAATTCTTATTAGCAAGGTTTTTGAGTCTTTAATTAAAATACTTCTTATATCTAAAAAGTATAAAATTTGAATCTTTTTTTCTGTTCACAGTATTAATGTTGTCCTTGATGATTAACACCCTTTTTTTTATTTCTTGTAACCTTAGGTGCCTTAGGGTTATCACTAGATTTTATCCTTAGTCCAATATTGTTTCTTATCTACATTGATAATTTTCTTGACTAGTTGTGGCTAATAAGCTCAATTGATCCTCTAATTCATCATTCTGTAAAATTTGTTCTTTATACTGTTTCTTTATGCTCTTAATACATTTTTATTCAACTTGTTTTTTTTTAAAAAACATTAATGCCGTAATTTTCCTTAAAGTTTAAGGTTCAAATTCATAGTCAAAATACACTTACCTAATTAAGAAGTAAAGGTATGTAAAATGATTACTATAAAATCTATAAGAGTGTTAAAAAAAAGTAAGCAACCATGCCAACATCTGATGCTGGTACTAGTCCTTTAGGAGCCAGATACTAGAAAAATAAAACTATTTTAATATATTATATATTGTTATGGAAGTTATACTATTTAAGTATATGAGAACGTTTTTTTTTTTAATTTTTTTTTCTTTGAATACAAAAAGTTTATTTTGTTGAGGCCTCAAGGGTTTAGCTCTTCTTTTAGGCCAGGGAGACTGCACTTCAGGACAATACTCCTTAACAGGCAAAACTGCTCCATAAATAGTTAAGTTTGTCACTACCTGAAATGTGGGTTTGAATTCCTACAAAAAATGAAAAAAATTTTTTTTTTTTTTTTAAACAGTATAATTTAAAAAAAAAAATCCACAAGAAACAATATT